TTCAATTGCTTTTATAAGAACACAGAGCACATAAAATCTAAATTTATCAAAAAATCTGAAACATCTGTGCAACTTAATAGACTCGTACAAAAAGCTTTATTAAAGTGAAATTTTTAATTCATCTTATTACTCTGATTTAAATGTAAAAAACAATTCATTTACAACTTAGTTATTTTTTTCTGCATTCTGCGTCCTGTCTATTCAATCTGAAATATGTTAGGTTAAATTCTAATTTTACTTATGATCCACATTATGCTATGTAGATCCGATTAAAGTCTCAAATATTGTTCTTATTTCCTTTGGTATATATAAATTTCAAATCAAGAAATCATTTTCATTTTAGATTTAGCAAAAAATTATCCACCATGTATGAGAATTATTGTTAAGGAAACAGATTTAATAAAATTAAAACTAGGCTCCCTTTTCCTCGTAACATGTATAGGAGGTACATTAGGGCGAGAAGGAGATCATTCAGTGCTGATACCGGATATAAATATTAGCAAGGTATATCGAAAAAGAGAAATATTAAAAAATTCACATTTTATCATAATATTCGTGTAATTGTATGTACTTGTAGTATCATGCACGTTTTGTGTATGACGAAATCAAGAAGCAGTATCAAGTAATAGATTCTGGTTCAAGAAATGGTACATTTATAAATGGCAAAAGATTGTCAGTAGCTAAGCAAGAATCTGAACCTCATGAAATAATCCATGGGTCAATCATAAAAATTGGCGGGACGAAATTATTATGCCATATTCATAATGGAAATGAAACGTGCGGTTATTGTGAACCAGGTCTTGTTCAACAAAACATCAATCTCAATGAAATTAAAGCTTCGAAGACAAAACTTTATAAGGAAGAATTGCGACGTCTGAAACATAAATTCGGAATTGATAAGGACAATATGTCTAGTAGTCAATTAGCTACAGGTTATCAAGACAGAGCGCAAGCTAGGCGACAGCATGTAGGTTCTTCAGATCCTCATGCTAAGACGCAACAAAGTTCCATTCACACGTAAGTATTGGAGCTGCTAAACGTAAAAAAGAACGCACACGCGTCTGTCTTATATAAATAAATTGAATCTTAACGATTTAATTATAGAAATATATATATATATATATATATATATATATATATATAATTATAGATCAATAACAAAAGATAACAAAGGATTCAAATTGCTTTCGAAAATGGGTTGGTCCGAAGGTCGCTCCTTGGGCAAAGATGGAGATGGAAGGACAGAACCTGTAAGTTCTTCTTTATTATATATAATTTATTTTGATTATCGCAATATGTTAATACAATATGTGTAATGATTTATAAAAGATTTATTCTTTTTGCATTTTTAATCTTAAATAACATTTTTATTACTTGAAAGAAAACTCAGGAGAAAAATTGAAAACAATTTATTATCAATATGAAAGATTGTGATGAATAAATAGCTTAGATATTACGCAGTAATATGTAGTAATTTGCTAAAGAAGAAATGAAAAATGTATCGATGGAATCGATTGTGTAATCTTGCATCTGCAACGCGAGACTTGAAATTGACATACGTCACACGTCAAATATTTTCAATTAATGAATATAGGGTGCGGTCCATTTTACAAATACTTCAGAATATTTCGCTGACCAATTAGAAGAAAGAATTAATTGTCTTACTACTAATTGACCAATCAAAGAATGATTTCAAAACATTTGTAGTATCGAATGGATCGTAGTAGTAGGAAATTTCGAATTATAAATTCGCAACTATCAATTCATGCCTGTGTGAAAGGGAATAAAAGCTATAAAGAAAAGAGAAAAAGATGAATGTGTACTCGAATCATTAGTCGAATAATCACGGAAAATCCGTGATCTCTTTCTCACCGCGTGCCAATTTAGTTTTGAACATTCTGATTGCCTGTCTTGTCGCATTTCAGCGGTAAAATAAAACGACGGCCGTCGCCGTCGGTATGAGTAGAGCATTCGTATGATAATGAGAGTAACTTTGTGAAATACGAAATGGCGAAAGAAGAGATCGCTCGAATCGCGGACCGTGAACAGGAGAGTAGTACCCCGGGGTAATGAATGCAAATGTATTGAAATCCAAATCATTATTTTGTCTAGACGCATCGTATGCCTCATTGCATATACCAGGTTACGCCGAGATACGTCGGAATATAGTCGGCGGTGATGCCCATGCGCGTAAAAGGATTAAAGGGCGGAATAAGGGGAGATTGGCGCTCTCTCTCTCTCTCTCTCTCTCTCTCTCTCTCTCTCTCCCTCTCTCTCTCTCTCTCTCCTTCTATTTTTTAACTCCCTCCCTCCTCCCTTCTCCCTCCCTCCCTCTCCTTCTTTCCCACCTTGTGTATTTTCTCTGTACTTGTGTTCACTGTCGCTTAAGTATCCATGTGTTCGTCCTATTGTCCTAGCAGTCTCCTCCTCCATCTACTTTTTTTGTCAAATTTGTCTGTCGCTCTAATCGTTATTTCCGCTAAATACAGAGTCGCTTATACTTTTTGTCCGTATAAAATAAAAAAAAGTCAGTGAAGCTAGAATCCGAGGTTGTATTTTCTATGTATAATATAGTTTTTTTTTTAAATAAATATCAAAACACGATTTAGAGAGATACAAAATAGTTATATAGATGTACACACACGTCCGCACGCACGCATGCACGCACGCACATAAATCATGTAAAGCACAAAATAAAAGGCTCGATTATATTAATCTAAAATAAATCTAGCAGCTTGTGTATCTTTAGCTAAAGACGCTAAATGCACAAACTGGAAATATTTGATAATTGCAAGTCTTAATACCTTACAAAAACTGGTTCGTTGAAACAAATTTTCAAGATCTGTCCTCATTCACCGATATCATATCCGTGTATCTCGTTTGCTGTCATAGCTATTTCACGTGTTGAATTCGTTTTTTTTTTTTTAACGTTTCTTACACCCTTTCTCTTAACGCATACCGCTCTCACAGAATTGCAGCCACGTAATACCTATACCTACACCTCCTTTGAGTGCGTTTCACAATGATATGACCTATATCGTAAACGATAGAAACAGAGAAGAATACTGGTACAAAATACGGAAGGAAAACACTCTCTTTGGGATGATACGCTTCGTTGAAAGCCCGTAAACCAGACATTGTAAAGTCTGCGAATGACGATTGCTAGTAAACTGTGAGATATAAAACCGTCGCAGAAGTGCTGGCTGTGATCTACGTACGCAAAGCCGTACTATACTTTAACGACTAAAATCTCGACGGATTCATTTATCTAAGTGCTTTACCGGGTGCTAGTTTATTCGAATCACCGTGAATTACAATTTCTTTATCATCTCGCTCAAGTGAAATGTAAAAACATTTATAGATTTAATGTTGCTTGTCACGATAATTTGATCGTAATAAAATCGATAACGAAACTCCATTAAATACATCAACTAAAAAAGGTGATAGATGATTGATTAAAAGATGTTAAAGTATTTGAAAGATTAAAGCATTTCTTATTTTATTAAGTAATATTTCATATACACAAACATTATTATACAAGCTACATTTATAGCGAACATACCGATCGCAAAGTAATCGCAAACTGCAACTTTATTTTATAGACTTGACTGAATATCGATTACCGTAAGTTATTTTACGGATGGAGTGCACTGCGAGTACACTGATTCCTTTTACGGTTTGCATCCATTTATCCATATTACATCTGTTTGCGGTTTACAATTTTCAGAAGAAAAAAAAATTGTTTGACGCTATAAATAATTTCGAATTGCTGATTAAGATAATAAGATACAACTCTTCGTGTATATTTCTATAAAGTATGTATATTTGTAAAAGAGATATTTTCTCTAATTTTATTGCAAAACACAAATTGTTAATGTATATCAATGCAAATATAAACGTAATGTATGATGACACGCACGCACGCACAAAACGCTACGATAATGCGATCATAAACTTTATTGGTTAGGAGATTTAAAAAAAAACAATTTAGCAAATTATTAAGTTTGTATTAAATAAAACAGAATCAGTCAATTGACTTAATACATTCAATTTCAATTATTTGAAATAAACATTAAACTTGAATTATTTGTGTTACGAGCGTACAACATATCTAACTTTTCTAGCGAAATGTCCAGCATTAATAAAAAAGAAGAAAAAAAAAGAAGTTTTGAAAGAGTACCGTGTCTGCGCTCGCGCAAAAACAACATAGTTTTACACAAATCGACTATCATTTCGTACGGATTTATTCACGAAAACTTGTTGCCATTCACCTCTTATTACTCTGTTTATTTTCTTCCAATAATTACGTATCTATTTAGCCACTGTATCTTTCCTTTCCGACAAAAACAAGTAATGGTATCAAGAAAGAAAAAGAAAAAGAAAGAAGAGTTCGTTTTATAAGAAATTGACTTAAAAATATCGTATCTCTGCCCTGGGCGTTATATGTATTTAAAATGCAAAGAGAGTTGTTTTTTCGATATTACATAATGCAACAAAAGCATATGCAATGATATCATGAAAAAATGCAATATCTTCTTTCGATTATGTATCGATAATTCGGCTAGAAATGAATATGATTTATGTATTTATTAACAAATGACGGATAAATATTTATGTCTGTACTTACATATTACAATTGATATAAAATCCACTATAATCCCAATAGAAGAGAGAATGTTTTAAATGCGTTACTGATGAAAACAAGATAAGGGCAAACAAATAAAAACAATCGCAGATGTTGATGCCTTCTCCTTTTATATAACTACTTTACATGATAACTTGTTGCTATCCATCTTTTTCGTTCTTTCTTATTTTTTCCCGTTATTTATTCCTTGTATCCTTTTATTTGCATGGGTGACGACACGAAAACAGTATTAAATATCGCGTGCACGCACGTCTATCGCAATGCACGAATCGGTTAGCGGAAGACAAACAAATTGATTGTTTACATTCTAATGCAACTTTTGATTTACATAATATATCAATAGCCAAATTCTACACATTTTGTTTCAATCTAATTTGGATCACTTCCTAAAATTCATTTTAAAAAAGTGTAATACAATTATTTATTTTAATTATGGAGACGTTATATTTACAAATCGGCTTAAGCATTTAGATTTTACAATTCGATTTTAAAATTGTTTATTCGTGTGTCAGCACTTTCTAATACTTTCCATATTATCTTGCATGATATTTCGAATATTGTTAAACAAATAATAATATGCTAAACAAAAATCGATTGAGTGTGAGTACAAAGAACTTTTTAATAATTTTATCATATTCAGGAAATCAAAATCTATAAAAAATGCTGTTCCTTTTACTTACACCTTTATGGGCAAAAGTTGGCCTCTTTTTAACATCCTCCTTTTGTGGTACTTTAACCCGAGGACAGGTACGTGGAGTGTTTTTTATATCCCAGCGTCGGAAAAACAAAGCTCATATTACAGTAGCTTTCTTTACTGACCGGGAATTTATACCTACCTTTCAGTTAAAGTTTCCGGAATATAATCTATACAACAGAAAGCAAAGTTATATCGATACGCACATACGTAGTAATAGTTTAATGAAATCCTCTAGGAGGTATAGAATACTCTCCACGTGACTGTTTACGTAATAAAAAGTTCAAATATAAGTAAAAAATATTTTAAAAGATTAATGATATTTTTTTTATTTATTAGGTGTTGGAATTAATTCGTAGCGTTTT